TGAAAAATGGTGAAAGAAATGGGTAAAATCCGAGAAGTCTCGCAGGCCTTATATAGGCCGAAGCCTCGGATACGAAGCAAGGGGAGGCTGCTGCGTGTCCGGACAAGTGGCGAGGGGGAGGGGCTCGGTTCGGACAGCTGGCTCGGCGTGTCGGATGGCCATTGGACCGGACTTCGGCCGAATCGGAAGGCAACACGGTGCGAGTTCGGAAGCAGCCACGGTGCGAGGCGCACGTCGGATCAGGAGCGGACCGAACTTTGGTCCAATAAGAAGACGACACGGGGCGGATCCGGGTGTGGCGGTTACTGTTCATGCGAGTTTTCCCGGTATTATCCATTATTTCTCGGTTTTTGAGCCAAAAACTTCTAAAATTCATATCTTTCACATACGAACTCCGTTTTTGACGTTCTTTATATGCACGCGTAGGTAAAATTATACTCTACGACTTTCGTTTAGACTTCGTCGGCTAATTTTGACTTTATTTTTAATATTATTATTTTTAACAGACCGGGACAGGAAATCCGTTGAAAATTCATAACTTCTTCATCCGACGTCCGTTTTTGTCTGTCTTTTTACCGCTATACTACTATTGACGAGACCTTCAATTCTCATTTAGGTTGTGTCGGCTAAAAATGACTCGATCGATATTTCGAGTTTTTAGCTGTATACTGCTATACTGAAACTTAGAAAAATCATAACTTCCTCATACGAAGTCAGATTTTGATGTTCTTTTTTCGAAAGTTCTCGGTTTAACATAAACTACAACTTTCATTTAGATTGTTAAGGCTAAAAATCCTTTTATTGAAAGTTCAGTTTTCACACTGAACAGTGTTTTGCCGGTTTTGTCGCGGATTTTCGATTGGTCATAACTTCTTCGTTATAACTCGGATTTTAGTGTTCTTTATATTTTTGGAAAACTTGTTACAATCTCTACCACTTGGTTCATCCCAATCGAGATTGTTTAATATTTTATTTTTGAGGGTCAATTATGTAAATATACACAGTATGCTAAAATTTCTCTTTATTGTTTTAAAAAGAACTATAAATTGACCTACATTATTACATAGGTTTGAAATAACGGTTTGTTACAATAGTGGACTCGACGAGTCACATGGGTGCACTCGGCGAGTCAGGTCAAACATGGACTGTTGACTCGAGTTTGATTTCTGTTGACTTTATGGTTTGGTCAACATGAGTAATGGAAAGCCATAGAGGGGTAAAATGGTCTTTTACCCATTCCAAGAGTTTGACAGAAAGAGAAATAGCCTTGGGTTTATTTAGAGTCATGAATAGCGTAATAATTAGAGATATTTATCGTATGTGTTAGGCGGAGGCTAGACCGGTGATTCGAGTTCGAGGTTGTCCGAGTTCTTACAAGGTGAGTCTTCTCACTATACTTACCATGAGTGGTATCTTTGTGTGACCGAGTTGTCTTATGTGCTTATATTGAGAATTGTGATATCCTGCATTATGTCTATGTGATTTATGTTGTGTATTATTCTGAGCTTGCTGAGTTAGGACCGGAGGGTCCCACTGAGACACATTGACCGGAGGGTCTTATCTGAGTATAGCCATGAGAGGCTAACGAGATATGTGGTATTTTGGGGAACTCACTAAGCTTCATGCTTACCGTGTTATGTGATATGTGTTTTAGGTTCTTCTCAGGATCCCGGGAGGGCGCCGGTTCGATTGTACACACCAGAGAAAGAGTTATGCTTTGAGGATCCTGGATTATTAATCAAACATTTATGGAGTTGTGTTTTGTAAACTAAATAAATGGGATTTTGTGAAACGTGTTATGAGAATTATGTGATTTTAAATTGAAAATTTTGTTTGAAAATTTACGTTGTTACACTACAACGGTTGGACTCAAACAAGAGTTGCGCAATAGAGCTAGGCCTAACCTTCTGAAATTATTTAATCCTCGCAATATGTAACTTAACATATTCATTTACTAGTTAGTAAGAGATAACTAGAACTCATAAAAGCACAAAGCAAGCAGCATTCGAGCACCGAGTACACATAATCAAGCATATCACATTCAGGCCATCACTGACTAATTTGTACTAGCATGCGGTTCATAAAGCTGAGATACACATAACAGGCACATAAGGCATCCCTTCCTAGATCCTTAGTCCTAATCTAGCATGCAATTCTCATAAAGCTGCTACACATATAAAAGGCACATAAGGCATCCTTCCTAGATCCTTAGTCCTAATCTAGCATGCAGTTCTCATAAACATATCATAACATAAACTTCTATGGGAAATTTGGGAGTACTTACTTGAACTCGGTTGATTGCATGCACCACACCTTTTTTCTCTTTTCAAAGTTCTTTTCTCTTTTAATTTTTTTTTGTAAAAATGATTTTTCTTTTGAAAATTTTCATACCATGTCCTTAGTTTAACTTCAGACACACCCGAGAGTGTGCCCGAATCCCCCAAACCAAGACTCTGAAACCAACTTGTAAAATCCGAAAAATACGGTCCAAAAATTTCGTTTTTAATTCATTATTAAAACCATAAATATCATCATCAAATAAACATCATGAACCATGTATCTCAAAAACATCATCATAACTGTCAAAGTATCATAATATCATATCAAATATCAGAGTGAAATATCCCAGGCTAGAAAACTGTGGTGTGTGCCATGCGATCATCCCGATCCCTTCCCTTTGCTAGCAGAAGTACCTGAAACCAAAACTAAAAACGGTAAGCACGAAGCTTAGTGAGGTCCCCCAAACTACCACATAACATATCACATATAACATATAAAATAACGTTGGGACTACGCCCAGCTGCATCGGGACGAACCCGACATCGGCTTACCCGACATCGTACTCCTGCACGTCTGGCATCGGGCCTCGCCCGGCATCGAGCTTGACCCGACATACACACTGCATATCATATATCATAAACACATAACATAAACATATAACATACATCGGGCTTTCCTCGACATCGGGCCGAAGCCCGAAACATATAACACATAGCATATAAACTAACATACATCGGGGTTCCCCCGGCATCGAACCTAGGCCCGAAACACATAACACATAATATGCATGAATCATAAAGACATCAAGCATACATAAATACTTCTCGGGACCGCCCCGGCATCGGATCGAGGTCCAGAACACATACTCTACATCGGGCTAGCCCCGGTATCGGCCGAAGCCCGACACATACTAACATACATAAACGGGTCGACATTGGTGCCTTTGACCCGTTCCTACTGGAGGAAAACTCACTTCGCAAGACTGACTGCTGAAAACTCGAGTGAGGAATCTCTGAATGCTGCTCCGGCGACTCCCCGACTATCAATTTCATAATAACACTTAATCAAAATCTAATAATCCTTCCTAGGGTAAAATGACCATTTTACCCCTGGTCAAAGTCAACGCTTGGGTCAAAGTCAACATTCTGATTGACCCAACTCGTCGAGTTACTCCATCAACTCGTCGAGTTTTAGATCCTGAAATCGCGATCTAACTCGTCGAGTCTCCCCCTAATTCCTTTAGGACATAGATCTTGTCCAAACAGCATTAGTATTCCAAACCAAAGCATGAAGACCTAGATCTAGGGTCTAGATACCAGTTAAGCACATAAAGTCTCGAGCTTGCTTCCATGCATGGCCCCTTTGGGACTTAAAAGGCCATAACAACATCCTTACGGTTTGCATGAGACTCAAATGGCATAAAGTTTACACCTTTATGCCTTTACAGCCCTTAATGACTCCAGATCTGAAAATATAATCAACTTGGGACATCCATGACTCATAAGTCATGCTACTTGGACAAAAACCCCATAAAAGTGACTACAAAGAGATCTAAGGAACTATAAGGCAAGTTAAGAGCTTGATTACCAGAAAGTGATGAGAATGGAACAAAATCCCTGGATCTATAACCTTCTCCTTGAACCTTCAAGCTCCTTCTTCTTCTTCTAGGCTTCAAGAACACACAAAACACTCAAAGATGACTCACACACTCCCAAAATGCTCTAGGGTTTCGTGGATTAGGGTTTAGGACAAGGAGGCTGTAAATGAGGCCAAGGGGTGGGGATTAGGATGCTTAAATAGGGTGCAAAACCCCGAAATTAGGGTTTCACCCTGGCCGTGCTACTCGTCGAGTCAGGGACCTCGACTCGCCGAGTAGATAACTCAAACCTCGCGTATACTCTGCCCTCTACTCGACGAGTTAGGGTCACCAACTCGTCGAGTCCTTCTTTTAAAATAAGTAGATAATTAAATTAAATGCGTACCAGGGAACCAGGCGTTACATGCAGACCTAAAAATGTTTGTGCGTCATCTTTTTGGCGCAGAGACATCTTCTAGCCAGAAAAACACATATATCTTTATTTTTTATTAATTTTTTTAAAACTTAGATTTATTCAAACTTTATCTTTGATAAACAATTTGAAAAAAAAAATACAACACTTAAAAAAAAGGGTTTGACGATACAAGAATGAACTTTGTGACAAATTTATAAATAAACATTTAATTACAATAATGGTTGTTGGAGCGGTTTATATAGATATTAAACAAATCTTAATATTGTTTTATATATTTTTGTGTCAAAATTTATAAAACATTATTTAATGCGGTATCAATAATTTCTTAGAAAAAAAATATTTATGGTCAGTTTTTAATTGATTTAATTAAAAAAATAAAATGAAAATTTTAAAAATTTTATTTTAAAATCGAAGTCTAATTACATCCATTATGTGTCAAATTGTTTGATCCCTTATTACAATATTTAAGCATACTTTGTGACTAAAGCTTATTGGTTTTTTATGGTTAAATCGTATCATTTTATTTTCACTTTTTATATAATAATATATAAATTTTGATCTAGATTTGTTAATTATCTATAATAAACTCATAAAAGTATTGAAAAACTCTTTTAAGTTTAAGAAAAATGAGTTTATTTATATTTTAGTTTATTTTAGCAGTCTTTAGACATTAAAAAACAAACAGTCTTCTTCTTTCAGACTGCAGACGTTTGGTCCACCTCTTCTACTGTAGAGGTCTGTAGATGTGGTCCGCAAACTATATACATTTTGCCTCACAAAAAACCAACCATCGCCTTAGTATCAAAAAATTTCAATATAAAAACAAAAAAGTTGACATAGATAAGATCAAAAAACATTAATATTGATTCATTGACAAGTCACATACGAATCATAAAAATAACACTAATATTAATGTTCGATTTTTATTTCATTCTCTTTGTTTGAGAGATGTAATGATATGGTGAGGTTTGAATGACTCGGACACTAGTTACGGTGTTGTTTAGTATGGCATATAATAGTGAGCTGCATGAGATTTTATAATAACTCATAACACAAAATGGAAGAAATACAACCAGTGGGCATCAAGAAAGATGCAGCCAGAAATCAAGAACAATGGTGGTTAGACATCAAGGTGTAAGGCTGAACGGTATACTCCCCACGCTCCTTGGTGTGGTGAGCTTCCAAATCAACCAACAACACCACCACTGTAGGTGTCCGGTGTACTCCCAACGAAGAAAAAAAATGAGAAGAGAAAGAGAAGCAAGGAAGCAAGAGAGGGGTAGGGAAAGACAGAGAATGTTACCCCTCAATTGTTTGTGCCCTCACGTGCCACTCTGCACGAAGCGTTATTGTCGTGGCACCGGAGGTGGTATGTACGATTGTGGTCTAGCTGCCACCTAAGTTGCAGATTGTCTTCGTTGCAGGCAGACCTAACAATGGGGCGGGTTTGGAGCGAATCGACTTTGATCCAAACCCTTTTAACTAATTTCAAAATCCAATCCAAAACCGCTCTGTAACCCATAAGGTTTTGAATAATCTAACTCATACTCTTATCCACCGAATCAATAACTATCCAAACCCGCCCCGTAACCCGTATGTTTTTTTGAATTATCAAACACATTTTACTTAAATATTAAAATAATACTTCTTAAATAGAACAAATGTTGATTTAGAAAACACATTACGTACTCGAGGACTTTCGATTGGAATTAAAAATCACTATTGTAGTAACTTTTGATTGATTTTTGACTGTCGATTGTAGTGATAGAGAATAGCAATTACAAAATTTTTTCCGGTTGATAAATGACATCATAATTCTTAGTAGAAAACTGGAAGTCTATAAGTCGACTCCTTGAGTCTTATGTAAAAACAGTTTGAACTTTAGTTTTTGCCCTTTGGACTTTCTATTGAAATTAAAATTAAACTTTACGCAGTATGAAATATAAACTTATAATTCTAAAATTTATAGGAGGGGGGGGGGGGTTATAAACGGAGTGGATCGGTAATGATCCATAGACGACCCTTTTAATAAAAGGGTTAGCGGGTAAACAAATCAAAAACTATGCTCCAAACTCATATAATTCTTAAGGGTTTGGATGAGATTATGGTCAAAACTCGTTCTATTGTCATACCTAGTTGCAGATATACAGGGGCCTAAGGCTAGGCACGTATGAGGGAAGCATGGGTGGGTGAGGGCTAATGAGTAAAGAAGGTTATGAAAAACTCTTAAGAATTATATGAGTTTGGAGCATAGTTTTTGATTCGTTTACCCGCTAACCCTTTTATTAAAAGGGTCGTCTATGGATCATTACCGATTCTTAAGGGTTTGGATGAGATTATGGTCAAAACTCTTTCAATTGTCATACCTAGTTGTCAGATATACAGGGGCCTAAGGCTAGGCACGTATGAGGGAAGCATGGGTGGGTGAGGGCTAATGAGTAAAGAAGGTTATGAAAAACTCTTAAGAATTATATGAGTTTGGAGCATAGTTTTTGATTCGTTTACCCGCTAACCCTTTTATTAAAAGGGTCGTCTATGGATCATTACCGATTCTTAAGGGTTTGGATGAGATTATGGTCAAAACTCTTTCAATTGTCATACCTAGTTGTCAGATATACAGGGGCCTAAGGCTAGGCACGTATGAGGGAAGCATGGGTGGGTGAGGGCTAATGAGTAAAGAAGGTTATGAAAAACTCCGAGAACCATCGATCCTTTTCTTAGTTTACAACTTCATTAATTATTTTCAAATAAGAGGGTATTTTAGTAATGTATTCTTTTCTAAGTATATGATTAAAAGTGTTGTGATTTCATAGCAGGAGCAAGAGCAACTTTGGGCTGAGACTTGGATCAAAGAATTAATTAACGGCAGATGAATCTGATTCATGGAAGAAATCACCTTGCCTGCGCGACGATGAAGATTTCCGCCATTAAAACCAATTTCTCATGCTCCAGAAATCCTCCTGTCTTCTCTTCAGCTGCCTCGTTTTCATCCTTTCAGTCGAACCTCGCAGATAAAATCGTAAACTCCAAATCCGCAAGTGAAGCGCTTCAGTTGTATTATTCAGCTTCCAAGAACATCGATACCACTAAGAATTTAAAACTGCATTCAGCGACTATTCATTTCTTGACCAATGCAAGGTTATACTTGAAGGCCAGGTGTTTGATGAAAGACCTCATCGAAACTCTACACAGATCTTGCCCTCCTAATAGAGTATGTTCTTTGCTCTACCATGCCCTTGATCAACCCGAACTCAGCAAACCCAAAACCAAAGTGTTTGGAGTGTTAATCATAGCTTTAACCGAACTTGGATTTGTGGATGAGGCGTATTGGGTGCTCAAGAAAACAGATGAGTTGCCTGCTGTTCATGTTTGCAACAGGATTTTAGATGGGTTTTTGAAAATGGGGAGGTATAATTCAATGTGGGAGGCTTACAAAAACATTACTTCTCATGACATGCCACCAAATGTTGTCACGTATGGGATTTTAATCGATGCCTGTTGTCACCAAGGAGATATCAAGAAAGCCCGGAAGCTGTTTGATGAAATGCTTGAAAGAGGTATGAACCTGACTGTTGTCATTTACACAACTTTCATACGTGGGCTATGTTGTGAAGGTAGAATATCAGAAGCCGAAAGCATGTTTGCAGAAATGAACAAAGCCGGAGTGGCTCCAGATTTATACACTTACAATGCTCTAATGGATGGCCATTGTAAGATGGCAAATGTTAGTAAAGCTCTTGACTTTTACAAAGAGATCTTGATCACTGGTTTGATCCCAAATTTTGTCACATTTGGTATCCTAATTGACACATTTCGCAAAGTGGGTAGCATGTTATCTGCCCAAAGTTGTCTCAGTCAAATGATTAAGTTTGGTGAGATACCTAATTCACACATTTATAATTGTTTAATTGATGGATATTGTAAAGAAGGAAATCTTTCTGCAGCCCTTAATTTGTTATCCGAAATGGAAACCTTGGGTATTGCAAATGATGTTTACACTTACTGTATACTTATAAATGGCCATTGCAATATGGGTAGATTACAAGAAGCAAATCTTTTGTTAAAAGAAATGACTAAAAAGGGAGTCATTGCTAATTCAGCAGTTTACAATGCATTAATCAATGGGTACTCAAAGAAAGGAAACATGGAGAAAGCTCTTGAGTTGTGTGGTGAAATGATGAGTAATGGTGTTGAGATTAATATCATTACTTACTCTACATTAATAGATGGTTATTGTAAGGTAAAGAACATGGAGGGTGCAATGGGTTTATACACAGAAATGATGATCAAAGATCTTGTGCCTGATGTTGTGATTTACACTGCTTTGATTGATGGCCATTTTAAAGATTGCAATACAAAATCGGCTTTAAAGATCTACAAGGAGATGATGGAGTCAGGATTAACTCCTAATGTTTTCACTCTTACTTGTTTGATCGATGGATTATGCAAAGATGGTTTAACTAATGATGCAATCAAGATTTTCTTGGAAAATGAGAATTGTCACCCAAATAATGTTCTTTACACATCATTGATTATAGGACTTTGCAATGATGGGAAAGTTTTCAAAGCTGGTAAGTTTTTTAGAGACATGAGACAGATTGGTTTTAAGGCAGATTTGGATGTTTATGCAGTGATTACAGAGTGGCATTTTAAGATGAAACATATGTATGGAGTGATGATGTTACATGGAGACATGGTTAAGATTGGTTTGATCCCAAATGATGTGATTTATGGTGTGTTTGCTAGGGGTTATAGAGAAAATGGGGATTATAAATCAGCATTCAAGTGTTCTGATGATCTTCTGGAATTGGGTCTTCATGTTTCAGGATCCAGACAAGAATCTTTTGTTCAATGTGAGAGTTTGTAGTTGTGGTGAAATTTATAAGGAATATAATTTATGCTTTAGGGTTCTTTGCATTCAATAACAATCAAGTTTTCAAAAAAAAATAATAAAATTGCCACTTTTTCTTCATTCCCTATTATGTTTCAGTTACATCATGATTTGATAACAATTTCCAGACCTCTCGAATGTTAGCTAAACAAGGTGTAGAAGTGAAGGGCAAAAATGGAACTTTTTATACACATTTGCATTTTCACACCTTGTGCCATTTTTCAATATCCATCTTCTTTATACGAGTAATCTCACAACATCATGAAGCAATGTGGTATTTGGTATAGAATCCTCTCCCTGTTGTCTGCAAATCCAACATTTTGTCTTCAAATACTTGAATAATTAAATTCATATAATGCCAAGTGGTGATTACATTGAGATAATACCTTTTTTTTGCTGTTAAAAACACATCCGATCGCATACAGAAATGGATAAGAAACATGTTTAGGGTCTTGTGCTGGTTTTAATACCTTTTATTGCTGTAAAAATGGATAAAAATAAACATGTTTTTAAGGATTTTTACTCAAGTTTTTGGTTACAGATGAAGAGTGGAAAAGACTAAAGAGTCCTTACCTTGAGCATAATCTTTAGCTCCAAAAACAGCAGAACCAGCAACCAACGCATTAGCCCCAGCCTCGATGACCTGTCATCAAACATGGAATGTTTTAAAATTGTTCAAACTGATTGTTAGTGTTCTAAACAGAAGGGTAAAATGGTCATTTACTCACACCCATACAGAACTTTATAAAAGAAACATGGACATAGATTGAAATACCTTGTATGCATTGTTGGGACCCACTCCACCATCTACTTCAATCCATGGGTTCACACCCTGCAAAGTGGATATAAATTAAATTGTCATTACAAACTATTAATTTCCCTATTAGGATTTTCAGGTTTTAAAATTTTAAAAAAAAAGTGAGAATGCAAGATTACCTTCTCCACACACATTCGTCTCAGATCTGATATCTTCTTCACTTGGCTTTCAATAAAGCTTTGGCCACCAAATCCAGGATTTACAGACATAATCAACACCAAATCCACCACTATTCAACACCAACAACAACAAAAAAAAAAAAAAAACAATGTGACTCGATAATTCCATTAAAAGATACGTAAATGTACTAAATTGTGTATAATTTACCATCTAGGACATATTCTATGGTTGTTAATGGTGTTGCAGGATTCAAAACTACTCCAGCTTTTGCTCCAAGACTTTTAATCTGAATGAAGAAAGGAACATTAAAATAAAAAAGAAATAGATTTCAAGAAAATGTCTGAAATCTCACTTGATTAATAGTGCGATGTAAATGGATGGTGGAAGATTGTTCACAGTGGACACTGACTATGTCTGCACCAGCTTTTATAAAGTCGGGGACTCGTTGTTCAGGTTCCACAATCATCTGCCATTTTTATAGTTTTCATTAGATTGGTTTGAAACTTTGAATGATATATTGATATATGAGAATTATTATTTGCAAAAAGAAGAGTTAATTACCAAATGAACATCTAATGGGAGGTCTGTAACTGGGCGCAATGCATCAACAACAAGAGGTCCGATTGTTATGTTTGGAACAAATCGGCCATCCATTACATCAACATGGATCCAATCACAACCTGCCACCTCAACGGCTTTGACCTATACATATCACTAAAACTATTTATATCTAACAAGAGTCAAGAAGCATGCATGAATAAAGAATAATACCTGCTCTCCTAACTTTGAGAAGTTTGCAGACAGAATCGATGGAGAAACAATTATATCACTCTTTGAGAATCTATCAACTCGAGAACTAGCCTTCACGACTGTTCTAATGGCTCTCCTTTAAATTTAATCATGAATTTGAAAATTATGAGTACTACATTATTTTGGAATGTTGTCAAGATCCTCACCAATTTAGGGAAGTAAAACTATACCTTGTGCAAGAGAGCGTGTTACACTGGGAGATAGACGGCTTTATAAAACCATTAATCTGCGATTGGATTAGAGTCGATGAACCCAAAGTAGCAGTTGCCATTTGTTTTCGGATTTTATATTCTCAAAGTTCTTAAAATGAGTATTTTTAACAAACACTTGGTGGGTATAGCCTAAAAGGGCGCAATCTTTTGTATCTTCACGCGAAATCTTTTGGGTATGAGTGTAATTTGGGTGAAGATTAAGGAATTGAAGATGAAGATTGTTCTGGTGTCGGAAAATGACGGGTGGGTGAATTGAGATGTGATTGACACACGTAAGATTGGAGGAGCGGGTTTAGTAAACGGGTGGCTACAGAAAAGAGGAAATGGGGAGTTTTGGAGAGTGGGAACCACAGGCCACAATCTTGAGTCTCTTGACGCCCCTCCGTTGCCGTAAAAAGTCGGCCGACTGCATTTGAACACCTCTTTAGGATGGTGGGAGCCAGCTGACATGCCATTTGTATATAAGGGTTTATCGTACCAAAAAAAAAAAAAAAAAAAAAAAAAAAAAAAAAAAAAAATCTTATTGAATTTTCAAAAGACAAAACTGCACAAATGGTCCATGTGGTATGTCGAAAATTGTCACTTTCGTCCAAAAAGATTTGGACTAGCATCAGTGGTCCAAAACTTTCATTTTGTTGCGTCTTTAGTCCAATCTGTTTTGATTTTTTTCAAAATGACAGATTTGCCCCTATTAATTTATTTTATCTTTTTTCTTATTTGTTTTCCTGATTTTCAAATTTAAAAAAAAACAATAAAATAAAAATAAAAATAAGTCTCTCTATCTCTCTCTACAAAACAAGAAAATAAAAATAAATCTCTCTCTCTCTCTCTCTCTCTCTCTCTATATATATATATATAATATATATATATATATATATATATATATATCTCATTCCCCAATATTTCTCATTCCCTCTTCGTTTGTTCTTCATGGCTCTCAAGAACAGTTCATAAAGCCCAAAAACCGGTGTCATCGCTGGAAACTGGTGTCACCGACGGAAACCACCGTCATCCAAAATCATTGCCGACGCCACCATCGTCTTCGTCGTTGGCGCCACCGCCTTCATCCCCCATCATCTCTGTCACCAGCAACCTCCAACAAATCTGAAAGTCGCCATCACCTACAACAAATCCTAATCAATTCCCACCACCGGAGACCCTTTTGTCACTTTCTTGGTTCGTCTTCTCCACCGGAAACCATATCCATAACCCCGATTTTTGACAAAAACCATCACGAACTTATGAAACCCTAATGCCGCCACCTTATCTCGTATGGATTGGGGTTTTCAGTGAAGAAGAAGGACGTGAGCGATCTAAAACCCTAACTTGTCGGATCTTAAAACCCTAACTGGTCGTCGGATTGAGAGAGACGTGACTCGCTGGAGAAGGAGCGAGAGACGGAGACGACGTTTGTGGCTCAAGTTTCCAGACGAAGCTATCATCGATTTGTGAAGACAGCGGCATTTACAGATCTGGAACGTCGTCGATCTTGAGGGTTTCTAGACGAAGCCAACTCCGAGAATCTGAAATGCATCCTTACAAAGCCGGAATCGACAGATCTGGTGGCGACGATTCAGATCCTCCTCCGCCCAGATCCTCTTCCGTCCAGATCTGGAAGCCGGTTTGTGGGATACCACCGTCAGAAGCAAACATATTTCCTCTCGCCGCCTTTCATCTTCTCCTTCGACTTGATTATTCCTCAGCAAAACCTAGCTCGAAGCAAACCCTCATTTGCAGATTTGTTTCCATCACCGGAGAAGAAACAAAGAGCATGCTGGTGAGGGTTGAGATCGGAGGTGTTCCAACGAGAGAGAGAGAGAGAGAGAGAGAGAGAGAGAGAGAGAAAAAGATGGTGATCGGTGGTGGTGTTGTTGTTTACAGGAGGGACGACTGGAAATAGATTTTTTTTTCTTTTTTGTTTAATTTAAATCAGAAATATAACAAAATAAAAAAATAGAAAATAAAATTAAAAAAAGGGCAAATCTGTCATTTTAAAAAAAATCAAAGTAAATTGGACCAAACTCAAATTGGACCAAACTCGCAACAAAATCAAACTTTTGGACCACTAGTGCTAGTCCAAACCTTTTTGGACCAAAGTGACAATTTTCGACAAACCACAGGGACCATTTGTGTAGTTTAGTCTTTTCAAAAATACCAAAAGTTAACAATTTTCATAAAATAACCAATGAAATGTATTAGCCACATCTAGAGATGCAAACGGGGGCGGATATTGGCGGATACTACAAAATCCGTCCCCGCACCCTACCTCCGATACACATATCCATCCCCGCCCCCACCCCGCTAAATCCCCGACGGGTTCGGGTGGGAAAATCTCCACCGGATATGGGGAACCCGATGAATACCCGTTTAGTAAAAAAAAATTGTAAATCTGAAAAATATATAAAAAAAAATACATAATAATAATAATCATGATAACCAATACAATTTAGAGTTCTTACTTCATTCTCATACACGAAATAGTAAAAAAGATAACAACAAACCAATACTTAACAACTAAAATAAAAACAAAATTCATAACATTCAAGTTTGTTTATCGCCTTATCAACACCATCAATCTTTTGCTTTTTAAAATGTCTCCAAACTTCTGAAGTTAATCTTCTTTTTGTATTTTCAACAACCTCTGCATCTGTTGTTCCAGCCCCCTCGCCATCTGTTGTTCCAGCCAATTGTCCATCTGCTGTTCAGCCCCCTCGCCATCTGTTGTTCCAGCCCCCTCGCCATCTGTTGTTCCAGCCAATTGTCCATCTGCTGTTCCAACAGCCTCAACACTTGGTTGTGGAGGTTGTTGATCTTGAATGTCACTGCAAAAGGATAAATAAGATTTAATCAACATCACAATAAACATGATTCTTTTTTGAATCATATAAGTTTAAAGAAAGCTAAATATGGATATATTGTAGTTATAGGGGGAAAAAACTCAGATAGACAGATTGCACCACTGTCAAGCTCAAGGTAAAAAAAAAAAGGCCATATCAGATTACAACCACAACAAAAAGTCGAGTGCAGGAAATTTTAGATGGACAGATTACAACCACAACACATATAAGTTAGAAAAATTAAGATGGACAGATTATAACCACAACAAAAATAGCCATATCAGTTTAGTGTACATTCATATCCAAAGCAAAAAAGAAACCAAGTTCATGAAATATATTACCAATCAGCAACAAAAAAGTTACATATTTTTTCATGATTCATGAAAAAGAAACCAAATTCATATATATCCAGTTAATGAAAATCTAGTAATCGCAGATGGACACATTTCTGAAACAAAAATCACTGAATTAATTGACTAATACAACTAAAAATGAGTACAAGAAAATCGAGTGAATCAGTTCCAAAATAGACCAAAATAGATGCAAGTGGGTAATCAGGTTTCTAGAAAACCATAGTCTAATAAGGTTTCAACAACCAAAATCACTCAATCGAGTGAGTAATAACCAAAACCGAGTGCAAGAAAATCGACTAAAGGATTAATTAGTCACAACTTAATCTAATTTATTGAAATCGATTACCTGGGCTTAGGATTTTCTGATGAAGCCAAAACTTCTTGTACGCTATTCTCCTTCAATTCCATGAGTGCAGACTAGGTTGAAGCGAAGGTGAAGGATTGATGTCGTCGACTCGTCGTGAAGATTCACTGAAGAAGAACGAGGGGCCGATTCCAGAAATAAGATGAAGTTTGAATATTGAACTGAACAAGAATCAAAGAGGAATGAAGGGCTTAAGTGAAGAAGAATAATTTTCGTGTGTGGCTGCATCTTTTATAATAAGTTCTTGATTCTAGGAGAAGCCGAATAGATCATAAGAGACTAGAGAGAGAATGAGATCGGTGAATGGTGATTCAATGCTTAAAGACACGAGGAGTCGAAATATTGAACTTTTGAAGCGTCGTCTTGAACTTGATACTCTGAATAAGATTTCCCAATTCCCATAAACATATATATATATATATATATAATATATATATATATATATATATATATAATCGGGTTTTAAACGGGGCGGATAGTATCATAACCGTCTCCGACCCATCCCCGCTTCGGGTTTAAATATTTACGTCCGTCCCCGCTCCGTTACCCGTTAAGACGAGTAATACCCGACCCGTTAGGGTCGGATCCCCACGGGTAGCGGGTAATACCCGATCCGCTTGCATCCCTAGCCACATCTGCGGTTTTGTTACTCTCATCTGCCATTTCGTCACTTTCAACTACAAATAACTGATGGAATGGATTAATGGAACAAATCGTAGATGAAAATGAGCAAATAGCAAATAGAATGAGCAAATCGCAGATGAGGACTAGCTATATGCGATTTTTTGATTATATTGTGAAAAAGCGTTTTTCTTTATATTTTTTAAAAAATCATTAAGGTTTTTGACTAAATTTAGACAAAATTTCACAATTGGTCCCCGTGGTTTACATAATATCGCACTTTGACGACTTCCTAGCAAAAAGTCACGCGACTGGTCCTGTGGTTTGTAAAATTACATGAAAGGTCCTCCTGCCATTAAATCTTCAACTTTTCAGCTGTTATTTTAAGGAAAATAATTTTGCCTTGTACCAATATTGCAATACACTATAAACCTCAAAGACTATTCGTGTAAGTTATAATTTGAAAATTTAGGTATAGATTAAATTAGAAATCGGAATGGTTATATATTATAAATTATAACTATAGATTTGAGATATAGGTATATATATTTTTGGCAACAACTTGATAATTTTTTCGCTGTGGACATGTTTGTGCTTTTTTTTTTTTTTTTTTTTGTTGTTATGTTAGGTTATGTGATTTTTTTAATGTATTTTAAAAAAACCAAAATTATAAAAAAACCAAAAAAACTTAAATACCAAAATTGTAATATACTCTAATATATTCATACATTTTACACTTTTTGGAAAAGGTAAAAAAAAAGTCATCAAGTTGATGAAAATAAAACGACAACAACGAAAAAAATAAAAATAGGAAATAATTAAAAAATAATATGAAAAAATTTAAAAAAATAATACTAAAAAATTAAAAAAACCAAAAAAAGATG